TTAAACATTGTTTTCTTATTGAAATGCTTGCCTATTGTGACCAAAACTGATATATATATAAATAATAATCTTAAACATTGTGGTTACATAAGCCATTCTCTAAATCTCGAGGCACACACGAATCAGCTTACTACTGTATAGAAATCAAAATTATAATATATAAAACATTGTCAAACAAGTAAAGCATTAATTGAATGTTTTAAGCTCAAACTTGCTGTAGTGCTCATAAAACACTAGACATTTAATCCAGAAATTATTAAATATTGTAAAGATGATCTTTGATGATGTAGTAGATGACTGCAGTGTTACCCATTAATAGAGAATTTTGTTGAGATAAAGAATGGTGAATCTGATGGGATGATCACAGTCAGAAGAGAATCTGATGGGATGATCACAGTCAGAAGAGAATCTGATGGGATTGTTTGAAAACATCACAATTGAAACTACATTTGTTAGACAGGATTGATAAGCAGCTACCCTCTATTATTTACATAAATATTAAATCGATTTCCTCTTATTTTTCGTAATTCTTTGTTTTAGGATCTGATGAAGAAGAGGAGGAGGAAGATGAGGATGATGAGGATGTTTCACTCTGTGCAGTTTATAATGCGGGTAAGAATTAAAAAAAACCATTTCTGTGTGAAGTCTGCATGTTTTGAAAATAAATTAAATAAGACTTTATAAAAATTAATCAATCATTCAATTATTATAAATTTGCAGAGGAAGAGAGTTCATCAAGTTCGATATTTGAAGGCAGCGATGTTGAAGAAGAAGAAGAAGTGGATGAGGAAGATGATGAAGGAGAAAACAATGCTGATGGTGAACAAGAACAAAATTCGAAAGGGCAAGGTATGGAATAACCCCTATATTTCATGAGGAAAAGTTTTTTCTACCTAATCACTAGTAGCTTTGATGGACTATTCGGGCTTAACCTATCTGGTAGGCAAGCTGAAAGTGCTGAGCTTGAGTCTTTGCTGAAAACTGTCTTAGCAAGAGCAGTGCTTCGCTGAATCCACCACTGGGTCAATATCATCCACTAAGATGATGAGATGTTAGATGTGATGCTATGTTTAGATTTTATTAGGGTAGTAACAATTTTTGAGTAATTTTTAGATAGGTTTCTTTTATATAATACTAGTCAAACTCGATCACACTGCTTGCTGTAATTATCGCTTAAGAAATTGTTTTTTTTTTTAATTCTATTCCAGCTACTAATTTTATTATACTATTTTGTGATAGTGCTATTCTGATATGAAATTCACATAAGACCCGTAGAGCATTTTTGGCTTAAAAGGTGAAAACATCTGTCTATCCTCAAAACAAAAGAATATTAAGAACAAAAAGGAAGAAATAAATCTAATTAGATTTACAGCTGTCTATAAAGTGCCATTATATATAATTGAATTTGAAGAAGAAAAAATCATCTTAACATTACCTGCTCATTAACAGTATAATTAATGACACATTCTTGGGAATAGGTTATATAAACACTGAATCCACTATAAAACTGACATACAATAGAAATTCAAGAAATATTATATCTTTGGGTAAAAGGCTACTTGGTTTAAGCGACCTTCTGTTTAATTCGCATAATTTATCTTTGTAATTAAAGGTGCGTTTTATTTGATATTAGCATCAGCAGTTTGATGTTTTTAATTGAACTTTAATTAAGTTTACTCCTTTCAAACAGCTGAATAATTTTTAAATTTAAATGTCTCCTGTAAAATGTCGCTTAAACCTTTTCAAACATAAAGCTTTACACGACGACGTTTTTCCAGTTTTTTAAACATATTAAATTAATTTGTGTCCATAGTTATAGAAATAGAGTGGCCAGGTTGAGAACTATGGATCTCTGATTTGGCGTTTCGTGTGGAGTTTTGTAATCATATTAATTAATATTTTTGTGATGTTTGTTAGTACAGGATAAGGCAAATGATTTATCCATGTAAAAATACATTTGATTTCTTCTACTTATGCCATTGAAAAATAAGTATAATACATTTTCTATACCAAAAATTTGTATTCTTAAAAGCAACATAATTTTTCAAATCATGAATATATAAAAGACAATAGGAAGATAAATTCTTAGTTAAGTCATTGACAAAAATGTAAAAAAAGTGAGAACTGTGGGGCACTTCAATCAGAAATCAGAAGTGGGTTTAAATGCGGTGATGTAGATGATAATCATTATTATTAGATCAGAGAGAATCAGATAAAAGGAATCTTGGCCCATTTAATGATAACTTCAATTAGTAATAATCATAATAATAACTATAAATGTCAACTAAAAATAACTATTATTTGTTGTAAATACTTACGACCTTGCAAAAATTGTACTGGTACTGGTACATGCATCCATATGCATGTACTGCAGTTTCCATAATGCAATCTCTTGATTTAGTTCACACAGGAGAGCAGGACCATAAATGCAACCCTAAAAGTTTAAGCTTAAATATTAACTTACTTAACATACTTAAATAAATTTTCATGTTTTAGATGGAGATGCAGATGGTGAGCCTGAAGAAAGTACTCGGGGTAAGAAACGGAAACATGAAGATGATGATGAAAACTGAAAGTTGCCTTAAGTGGAGTTATCGTACTAGTTTGTAAGTGTACAGCGATCCGATGCATCGGACAATAAATTTGATCACAGTCTCGGTACATTGCAATCATCCAAGTAGGCTAGTTGTCATTCATGAGAGTGATACGTCACCATTTGAGGCTCGACTCACTTTGCTTTCATTCTAGTGCAAACTCTGTTTATTCAATATAAAATGAAATATTTTCTATCATTGATTAGTGTTAATGTTCATTGTGTGAAATATCTGTAGTTTGTTGTCTGAAGTTGATGTTTTGATTAAATTGTTTATGTAATCTTTTTTTAATATTCTATTGACATGCTTAATTTTAGCCTAATCATTGAAACTGAAGTGCATGATATAAATATGTATAATCTAGCTCTCATATGATCTAAATTTCTGTTTTATATAAGTTAGATTTAAGCTGAGAGAAAATTAAATTATGAAAGTATTTATGCCCTTTCAAACCATTAAAACACAATAAATTATAAGTTATGGGCTTCACCTGCATTATCGACCAAATTAGACTGAAGAAATTGATAAAAATGGAATGGGAATTACTGGCATTGTGTCAATTTGGATATAGATAATAAGTACGTTAAAAAAATTGCATACAATACCATTTGTTGCAAAAATCATCTTTTTAACCATGTTTGGTCTTTTGTCTCACTTTTAAAAATCATCTTTCACCAGATTACTGGCCTGCAATAAATAAATACCTTATATAACAAATATTTACTATCATCCAAGAGTAAAATCCATTGATTACAATAACATCTTCAGTAGGTATATATATACAAGGAGGTACCATAAAACTAAAAAAGACTATGAAAACCTAAAAGTTGATGTTAACAAAATTAACTGGAATTTCGAAAGGGCGTTATGTGAATATCATAAAACAATTAAATTAGATAAAACCTTTGAGTTCAGAGAGTATTTTTCTACAATATTTTTAAATCTAAAATGAGCAATGCACTTATATCAATGAAGTGTTTGGTTGATGCATCATGGTGTAAGTGCCAGATATGTTGAAGAGAATTTTAGTTAATAATTTTATTATATTATGTAAGTCATTAAGTTTAAGTAATTTACAACTTGGTCTGTTGATATATATTATATAATCCTATTAAGACTTTATTTCTGGGATTGTAAAATAAAAATTAATAATAGTATTTGTGTTTTTTTGTTTATGATAAACTTTTATATTTGCGTATCAGCACTAATGTCTATATTCCAAATTTAACCTTGACCATAAATGGTTCAGTCTGACATTTTTCCCTAATTCCCTAATTTTTCATGTTAATGCTTAATATTTTTATTGCATAGACTGGTGGATGAGTTGACAGGCCTAATGTGAAGTGTAGTAGAAGTATGTGTTCACACCTAGTGTGAAGTGGTTACTGGAGCTCATTGTTGTTGTTGTTGTTGTTGTAGTCCTAGGGTACCCCGCTGGTACATAGGGCCCTCATAAGTTGTCTCCACTTTACTCTGTCTTGTGCTTGCTCCTTGACATCACTCCAGGTCACGTTGGCAGTCCTCATCTCACTCTCTACGGTGCGTCGCCAAGTGTGTACAGGGCGACCAGGTCTTCTGCCAAGCGGTTGCCACTCAAACGCGATTGATGCTGCGTTGACTCCGCTGCGCCGTAGAGTGTGTCCTATCCAACGCCATTTCCGATGAGCAATGTCTTGCGCGATGGGATTTTGGTCGCATTTACTGGAGCTCATAGACCATCTAAAACGTAAATGTCGTCACCCACCTTGAAATATAAGTTCCAAGTTCTCGGTAGTTACAACGGCCGCCCCACCCTTCAAACCGAAACGCATTGCTGCTTCACGGCAAAAATAGGCAGGGTGGTGGTACCTACAAGTGCGGACTCACAAGAGGTCCGACCACTAGTAATTACGCAAATGATAATTTTGCGGGTTTGATTTTTATTACACGATGTTATTCCTTCACCGTGGAAGTCAATCGTGAACATTTGTTAAGTATGCATTTCATTAAAAAAATTGGTACCCGCCTGTGGGAATCAAACTGTCGCATCGCTCGACACGAATGCACCGCACGTTTTATCTCTTAGGCCACGACGACTTCAAGAGCTCAGTGATTAGTGAAGTCCATTGGCATCAACAACACAAAAGCAAATGTTAGATGCCCTTGGTCTGTTAAAAGTCAGAAGCATGTGGAGTAGAATTTTTGTGTTTACCTTCCATCGCCTCGAATGAAATCCAGTTCCTCGAGAGCTTTGAAAATAATTTTCAACGATAGACATCGGCTTGATATGCTTCTGACATTGTTTATGTCATTGAGCAACTGACTACACACTATAAGATGAATTATAGGTAATTATAGGTAGATGAAATATTGGCTGTTAAAAATACGAAACATCAAATAAGGTAAAAAAAAAACATACTTTTTTTTAAATATTTAATAAATTAAAACTCATGCTTGCATGCAGTTATGTACATCAGTCGAACCGTTAACTTGTTTGCTGCTCTAAAAACTGTTGTAACAATGCATTATTGATCGGTATCATTAAGTTTTCACTGCCGTCAAGAGTTCTCTTCATTTTAACGAGTTTGTGGTCTAAGAATTCTGTCAACTGTGCTCTGAGAGCTAAGTCAGAGCTGACCAAAAATTGTTCGCGGCATTTTGAATAGAGATCCTTAAATGGTAGTCCTGTAAACAATTTTTCAGTTACAGGTGTACATTAGACCATAGCTCTTATTTTACTAGTTTATGTTTTACTAAACTGTATATTCTCCAGATAGAACATATCGCGTAACGGAGACGTATCCAGACGATTATTTTCTCGTGTTTAATGGGTACAAAACAAAAGTTTAAGATATTATGTTTTATTTAGAGCGATTTTCATTTTTTTGTCTGTAATTCAATCGTAGATTATTTTGGATTGGCTTTAAGACATTTTTACTGGTAGTTTCGCCGGCGAGAAACTCAGTGGGCTTTACTATTGGAATAATTCCAACGGCTTTTATTCAAACTCCATCGCGTCACTTTTTTAATATAGTCATATTTTGTTGATTTCTTGTACAACATAGTCTAAAAGGTTGTCAAAAAGAATACGATATACTATTTTTTTATTTCCATATTTTAACTTCATTGTTTCGTTGGTTTTTCTAATTATGCCATGCCATTATGCTTATGCCATGTACATCATGTCGTGACACATCACGTCAGAAGTCGGACTTTAGCGGAAAGCCTATTTTTTTTTTCTGAAATTATAATCTTAAATAGTATTTTCTAGGCTTACCTTGATAATGGGCTTGCTTTTGATTTGCTAATTGATGTTCAATAAGGATAGTGAAAATCCCTTTTGAATTCGATGTTAGTGACTGATAAACGCTCCTGAGTGATGATAATTGTAGGGCGCCACTTTTGTGTGTCATTATAGAATTCTCGAAGGAAGTTTCTTCAGTATAAGGAACAAACGAAGTTACATCCCACCATGAAAAGTTGTATTTACTCAATTTAGAATAGTCCCATACTGAAAATTGAATTATTCTGCTTAATTAATCGTTTACGTGGTGTAGCGCTTTTTATATAACTTCAACGCTTGCGACGAAGGGCTTGGCGAGTAAATTAGCCCACAGACACGTCCCACTCGCCAGATCTTCTCAGTAGGTTGCGTTTTCGATCTGATAGCAGATTCTGCGAAGCACAGGTCTTGCTAGGGTCAGTGTTAGCAACGTCGTCAGGTTAGAGCCCCGTGAGCTCACCTACTAGACCAGTGACGATGATATGGCCTCTCTAGACCATCAGCTTAGGTAGGAAAAAAACAAATAACTTCAAAAACTAAATTAAGTTTTTAGATTAATAATCACTTGCAAAACTTAACTTAAATGTATATTTTAATCAAGTAGTTTCTCGTGGTTAAAATTGAGCTTTTTAAAAAAAGTAAGGTACTTACATAACGGGGCATTAATATGATCTATCGTTGCAATGGTGTGCACATTCTTTATCTGAGATAGACTAGCCAAAGTAACTTGTGATTTAGAATTTCTTAACATAGGCCCATCGATGTTGTTTACTATCAGAAATAAGTCCACGCTATTTTCTGACAGCTGACTGTCAATCAATTTTACAACACTGCCAATATTGGACGGTACAGTTGTATTCCCTAGCAGATCTACGACGATGCTTTCTAGGATATCCTTAATGGTGAGACTCGGAAAGAATCCATTTACCATTATACACGGAAACTTGTTTAACTTCTCAGTTTGAAACTGTTGGAGCAAAGTTCGTTTCGATCCTATGCCGTATAAAATAATACTAAAGTTTTCACTCAGTTCATACAGCCATCTGTCAAAGAGCTGTCGATGGTTATAGTTGAGCTCTGCTATTTTTTTCCTGTGTTCTGTTGATATATGTACAGTATCTGGAGAATTATCTTGAATATTCATGTTTTTCAATCTAGCAAGAGTGTGATCTGATGTGGCTATCTGTAATATTATAAATTTCTTTATTTAGACAATATCAAAGTAAGTTCAAATGAAAATCAATTAAAAATTGAGCTCGAATAAAAATAAAGCAACAACATGAAATCAGTACAATATTGTATGCTGATAATTCAATAATTCAATTGGTATGACGAAATAAGCATACTAACTTTTTTACTAGAATTCATCATAAAATAGTTGTCAGGTTTTACAATGTATTCTGAATCCTTAATTTTCATTTTATTGTTCCTGTTTCTGGTGATTTGTGTTTTAACTGAATCTTTCCTCTGAGGTTTCTCATCTTCTACTGATGTTGATGATGATGATGAAGAATCAGATTGCTGCAAAAAATATGTTTATTAAAATAGTATATAGTTTTTTTTTTACATTTGAGAGTTGTAAACAATTAAAATGGTGACGGTTACAATTTAATCACATGTTTAATAACAGCTCGGTTCTCTGATGACCATGAAAACTAAAAGAATGAATAAGTTTTTCAGTCATTTTCTAGTCTAAACAATAAGACACCCAGTATATTTGTATAAAGTGGTGCTAAGTAGTAGGGAGGTACCAATTATCTAATGATATATGTACAAACTTAACCCATGGCCATGACGAATGATGTTATTCATCATACAATAACAGTCAAACAATAACAATTTACAATCTTCGTTTTTATTAATATGCAATTGAGGCATAGAACTCAAGGATCTGAGGATAAAAAATCCTGGCGTAGAGGAATTATAAGAGCTGGCCCAATTTAAAGTGGGAAAAGGAGTACAAAACTTCAGTACTATCAGTTTACCTCCTCATTTTCACTCTCATCTGGAACAAAATCACTGCTGCTTCCAGAAAAATCACCAGAACTATCACTGTCTACTTCCTGAATGATTCCTGAAAGAGATGTATGTAGTATGTAGATAACATTTAAGTGTACTCCAGTATATTGAGTATTTCAACAAATTTACTAAGAAAAAAAACTACCGGCTCATTACAATTTATGATCATTCTTAATTTGGGCCAACTGTTACAAAATCTTTGAGACTTCAACCTCCTGTCAGGTCATTGACATTGGTGTGTAGGTGGTCTCTTGTTACCAGACAATACCAAACAGGCTCAAGCCATATAATACAAAGGAAAACTCTGTCCTAGCGTTAGTACTCCCAGAATTGCAATACTTAATATGAATATAATAGACATCCTAGTGTTCATTTTATTCCTAGAGAACTGTATCACAAATATTATTTATTTCAACTTCTAATGTATTTGTTTTAACTTGCTTTTATACATGTATTTATGTTAAGAACTAAATTCTATTTTGAAATGATCATATGAATATCTATAACCAAATAAAACCAATTATTAACTGAAATGTTCAATTTTAAAAGTTGGCAGTTTTAAAAGTTAATCAATATTAAGCTTTACCCCTATTTCTAGGACTTGCTGTGTATCTTTGAATTATTAAACTCAAAATATTACTATAGTACTATTATATTGATGGGTGAAATCCACTTAAACCAAATGTTTAATAATATTGTGTGAAATTTATCTTTGTAATTATGTTCTTTTTATTTGGTATTAGCATCAACAATTTCACGTTTTTACTAGAACTTCAATTATGTTTACCCCATTCAACTAGCTGAAGAAGTTTTATTGCCATGTTATTTTTTCCAAATTTTAACACTCTCACCGCCACCTATATATAGAATTTGTCGGTGCGGCAGGCCGTGCGGTCCGCCGGCGGTCGCAACTATACCTAGCCGTGCAGGCCATGGTGAAAAATCGATAACGTGCTTAGCAGGCCATACGGGCGGCTGGCGGACTCACTATTTATTTGTACTAGCAGGCCGTGCGGTCCGCTGCCACCTCGTGATTTCATATTAATTTTATAGTGGATGGCCTGCTGTTACAGAAAAGTGAAGCTGCCAGATGAAAAATTTACTTTTTTACCTACAATTTAAAAAAAAAATTGTTGCTGTATCTTTAAATTTATAGGATTACTAGAGGGTTAATTACAGCAAATAAAAATACATTATAAACGATAGGAACTTAGTTCTATTCATAAAAAATTACATTACTGCCTTATAATGGCGCTATGGAAGTTTGTAAAGCATTCGGAGACTACTGGAAAAGAAAAAATAGAAATTTGAAGGGCAAACTAAGTATTGACTTTCTTTTTTACTTCACAGGCTTATAGACTTGTCAAGCCTTTTGCCGCTTCTGACGGATGTTGGTATTGGCGTCTGTATGTATGGTGTCTTCCTTCTGAAGATTTATCATCAGAACACCTATTTATGATTCCGAATTCTACGTCTGTAGATGGTTGGTAGTCTGAGTCATCTACTGAATCCGACATAATGATAAAAACTTCGCACAAATGATGAAATGCACAAGAAAGTAATGGTAATTAATCTAAAGAAAAACGCGCGAAAATGCGACCGTTGCAAGCCGTGCGGGCCGCCGGCGGGCTAATGATTGATTATTAGGTGTGGCGTGACAGACTCGAAATTGTTTTAAGTAGTTACAGAAATTTTGTTATATTTTGGCGCGAAACATATGGTGCGCCGGCGACCCGTACGGCCTGCTAATCTCGTTTACTGCAACATATTGGTGGCGTGTCTAACTCGAAAATATATGACCCGCCGGCGGACCGTATGGCGGTGAGAGTGTTAAACTTTAAATTGGCTTTCAGCCTCAATATATACTATATAATATATTTAAGTAATACTTACTTTTTTTTATTACTTCCCTAACATGTCTTGGAGTACCTGCTGCTTTTCTAATTGGGCTATGCAAATTTATTACTTTTTTAGGAGTTTTCAAACGTGTGAGTATTACTTTGGGTGAATTCATCATTGCTGATCTCACTGCATTCTGTAGATCATGCTTTGTGTGACGACCCTTAAATTTGAATATATCTTGACCCTCCACATCATCATCACTAAACAGTGCTGAAATTTACAAGAATGTAAAAATGTATTCCATTGTAGCATTTTCTTGATTTTCACAAGTTGTAGACATAATTAATGCGAAACTAAAAATAATAAGTTTAACCAAATATTCAGCACTTTAAATGATTTTCTTTATATAATAATATGTACTAAAAAATAAGTATTTACTTAGAATTTGGTATTTAGATTACAAAAAACACACTAGGAAAAAATGGACCTTTAAGAAAAGTTCCTCATTTTTATGTTGTTTAATTTCAAGAGTATTTAGACAGGCATAAACTGCACATTTAAAGTGTACCTCTGGGTTTCTGCGGACAAGAGTCGTCGATAATCTCGTCTTCTTCACTAGAAGTACTCACTCTACGGGGTTTCCGTTTAGAGGGTGACAATTCAAAAAAATCGTTGTATTTTTTCGGTTTTTGTCTAGTTCTGCCTGTTCGACGAGACGGGGTATCGGGTAAATCGACTGTAAGAATATTAAAGATTTATTCCTATTGGCCTCATTTGAACTCCATAATGCTTAAGGCAATTTAATAAAATATTACTAAAAAAAGCTGCGATAAATTCGTATTATTTACCTGTTTCTGTTTCACTGTCGGATACTTTACCCTTGAGTTCACTTGACATACTTGTGGCAAATACTTCCCTTAAATTACTTTACTCCTATAACAAATAATTTATTTGAGATTTATTAGTTACTTTTAAAACAGTTGTAATAGTAGCAAGTTAGATTTCAAACATTGCATTACGTTAATGACATTGTTTATAGTAGTAGTAGTTTTATTTTTTGAAATGAAAAAGCAAAGGTGTCCCACTATAAAGCCTAATCTTTTATATATATTTTTTTTTTAATGAAATATGATAATATTAAATGAAATGAAGCTGATTAATACGAAACATGGAATGGCATGAAATAAAATTAAGATTTTGAGACATTGATTAATTGGGATGAAATTAAATGAAATGAGATGAGATGATATGGGATGAAATATAATCTCAGTAAAATGGTGGTTGCTTACTGAGATTTTGTCATACCTAAAATGGGATTTTTAGGGATTGAAAGGTGAATGGGGAAAAAACCAGGAAAATCTTTCGACGCTCAATATTAGTTTTATATTCGTTGCAAAATCTTCCATTTCTTGTAGTGTAATAGTAGAATGTTGAAAGTTCACAACTTTGAATCAGCAACTTTGAATATGCATGATAATAGATGCTAACTTTAAAAAAATCGCATTTCAAAGTAACTTCTTGTGGTGGTAATTATTTTAGTGCTAGAAACTTTGCTCTCTTTTATTTATTTGATGATAATAGAAGACGACTGTGATTTATAAACGTTATTTAGTATTTGAGAGATCATATATATTAAAGGTAAGTCTCAGTTGTTATTGGTTTTAATGTTTTTGATAATATAGAAATACATGTAAAAATCTATTGTTTTTGGGGATAATGGGGACGTCTCAGGTACAAATAACAACGGAAAAGGAGTCAATTGGGATGAAAATAAGTTCAATGGGAGCGAGTAAAGTATAAATAGGTACAGGCTTGTAGGGTTGTCTATGTAGTTATAACAATATTTTTTAAATGTATTGGCAAGAATCTGGTTTATTCATGATGTTTTTGTCTAGAACTTTTATTTAAAATTATCAATGCAGTGTTATTTTATTGTTTGACAAATATGTATATTATCAGTTACGTGTTGTTTTCTGTTTTTAGATATGACTCGCGTGTACGTATTAAAGAGTGCAAAGCGTTATAAGAGATATGATCCCTTAATATTAAAAACAGCAATAGAAGCTGAAATTAGGAATAAGTTTTTAGTTGAAATAGCTAAGTAGTTTAATATAAGTAAGTCGGTTTTGCACAGACATGTAATAAGAACAATGAAATCTCAAGGTGGACAAAAATGTCTAAGTGAAGAAGAAGAAAAATATATAATAAAATATATTAATATTTGTTCAGAGTGGGTGTATCCACTTGATTAATCCATGGAATAACCGACACACCTAATAACAGAATCCTTTGGGACAACTATACAACTATACAATAATGTCCACGGTAGCATGGTTTCCGTCAATGTTCTTTCGGAGTTGTCCGATTGCGTTTAACTAATTTTAAGTGATGAAACAGATGTTTTTTCAAATTGTCTCACAAATTACAGAAAAAAATTATCGCGGATAATTTCCCAACTAAATATAAATTAATCACAAGTATTCAAATGAAATCAAGTTTTAGCATATATATTTTTTTGTTGTTGTCAATGCACTGTCGATTGCACCTATAATTGAGGTGACATCTGCCATGTACTTTTGTCAGTTTTTCAATGTTTTTTATTGATGATCACTTTGTTGGTTCAACTAAATAAATAAATTAATGAAGACCAAGTAGTGCCAGCCCTAGCAAATTTCTCTATTGACACTAATTTCGACCCCATTAACTGCAATTTTCGGGTAAATAGGGATATCACTTATTTTTGCTTTTTTTGCTTAAACTGGAATGTTAATTGCATAGTTTTAAATTGGATAACAAAGATGCCCCCAAGACTCAATCATTTTGATCCTGATATAGCATTAAATACATCAACAACTACCTTTAAATTGTTCATCAAGTTGGAATTTGTCCCTAATCACCCCGTTTTATCGGTACCGTACTTCATTGTCCTACCTCGAGGATTTGTCGAGAACCTTTATTCACTGTAAATAGGGTACCAGTTTATTATAGATATTATAGAAATAGGTAAGGTCAATATAAGTTGTTTCTGATGGTAGACCGTCTGTCGCACTGGATTTAAACAAAGTGTAATCTAATAATTTATGTATGTTTTTCTGCCGCGTAGCGATTATGCGTCAAACGCAAAAGGAATCTCAGAGTGTAGTCTCACATATTATTATAGGGAAATTTTGTTACCTTACTCATAGTACATCAGGTGTAAATAATAAAAAAAACAATACCTACATTTTTTTCTTTTATTGTTTAGATGGGTGGACGAGGTCACAGCCCACCTGGTGTTAAGTGGTTACTGGAGCCCATGGATCTACAACGTAAATGCGCCACCCACCTTGAGATATAAGTTCTAAGATCTCAGTATAGTTACAACGGCTGCCCCACCCTTCAAACCGAAACACATTACTGCTTCACGGCAGAAATAGGTAGGGTGGTGGTACCTACCCGCGCGGACTCACAAGAGGTCCTACCACCAGTAAAAATACACCTACATACTACATACTCATAGTTTACTAAAAGTATACTGTTGAGTACCATAAATTACAGATTCTTCTTCTTCTTTATCGTTTCCTTAGTGCTGAGCATCGCGACCACGTGATTCAAAAGCATTGATCTTGTTGCTTTCCTTATATTATAAACGGAAAATAAATAAAAGAATACAAGTTTCATCATTTCATTTATTTGCTCAACTTACTGACAATTTCGAAAATCACAGTTACTTTTGACAATCGTTTTTCATGTAACTATTTTTATAATACACGACAACGGCTGTCGTAGGTATTTAATTTATATTTTTGAAAGTGGGTATAAAATGGTATTAAATATTATTGGCCACGGTACATACAATTATAATTATTAATTCATTTCGGTATTTTTACTTATAAAACGGGGAGACACTTTAGATAAATAAAGTATTAAAAAGTTTTCTAAGTTGTCATTGAAAAATTAAGATAATTAAGATAATATAATACTAATAAATAGACGAAGATACGACGCAATTTGCTTAATGTTTACACATATGAGAAATGTATGTAGTGAGCAAATCACAGAGGATAAGTGCATGGTGGCGATATGAGCATGACACACAATTTACAATCAATGAAGCGGAACCAACAACTATACATTTTAATTCTTTAAATTATTCAGGATAATCGCCACAACAAAACGAAAGCTCGTTTCTATACCCTATGGAAATTATACGAAAGAAACATCACAATATGTCATTGGAATAGCATCCCTATAGATACAGTAAAAAAAATTAAATGGCGTCACCAGCGATACCACTTACAAGTTAGTACTTAGAAATATATTTTAATGGTGGGATCGTAGCTCATCTATATACAATACCAACAATTTTAATAGACTTATACAATCACTCGAGTCCCCTACGTCTACGAGTCGCGCGGCTTCGTACGGGCCGGTACTACGTACAATACATAAATGCGTGCGATGCCTACGTCAAACTTGCATCGTTAGAATCGTAGAGTCGATCCGAAGCCGTGGGACGATCCTTTAGACAATCTATAGCATTCGAACGCTTCGCTACACATCGGATAGTCTCGAAAATGCCTACACCTTACACGGTTAGGCGGTTAGACAATTTTGAACTCTAAGGGAAAAAGGGGAACACCAATTTTAATTTAATTTAAAACGCACCGCACAGGATACTAATTTAAAAAAAATATAATCACGTCGTCCGCACAAGGAAGCCGACCGACCAACTTACAGTATCGGCACAGATCAATACGTGACACACTGACACCGTCCGGAGACGAGCCGTATATTTATATTCATCACATAGCAATAATTTACATTTAAACACGGCCGGGAGAACGTTCACGAAACGACATACACGTAAAAATATTAATTCGAAGCCTACAATTATAAAACTACACAAACGCGCATATAGTAGCGTCCAGGTTGGATCCGCACGCTCCTGAGATCAATGATAGCGAACCGAGGTCGGCGAGTGGTCCGCGCGTTCGGCCGGCGCTCGGCGAACGGCTCGCACGGCTCGGGCGGCTCGCACGGCTCGGACGGCTCGCACGGCTCGGACGGCTCGGACGGGTGCGAGCCGAGGGGCGCGTCTTTGGTATGGGGGCGAGTGGCGGGCGGCGCGCGCTACTCACTAGGCCTGCTTCACACGTTTCCGCGGCGGCCCGATGGGCGGGATCTGTTGCTGCTGGGTCGCGAGCGCGCGGAACGCCTCCGCGATGAGGTGCGGGTGCGACGAGATCATGTTCTTCCAGCCGGCCGTGTCCATCACGTCCGTCGCGTGGCTCCTGAAACCAATACGTTTAATCGCACTTAAACAATTGCCTGCGTCTCCGTTTCACAATACCACGAGTCGATTTTTAGGAGATTACCAATTTTTTAATCTAACTAAAGACATAAGTGGGCGAAGGGGATATGGATACAATTTGTTACTTGTACTTTTTCTTCGTACATAACTCCTTCATCACATGCAATTTCTAAAAATAGCCTTTAAAACCGGTGTTTTAAGTTCTAATATCGTTTATAGGCACATAACACTGTCATTAAATGTAAAAACTCAAACATCTTAAACATTGCACTTAAACCCCCTTCATCCACTCATGTGTTCAACTATGTGTGTAACTTGTCATAGTGTGAGTTCGTAGTCCACCCGGTTAAGTGGTCACCGGAAACTAAAGACATTACAATGTGAATGCCGCTTCTGTCCACATCGAGAAATAAGGTTGATGTTTAAATTGCAGCAATCGGCAATCGTCCAGTTTGAAGGTTGATATAGTAACTATAGACACTAGCTTCGACTTAATGTCCACAGCTCTAGAATCAAAGAGAACTCGTATAACAATCTACCGCAGTGAGGTAATAAAGAAAACGACTGACGTGTTAATGAAATCTATGGTCTGCGCTTTGAGCTGGTCGGCGGAGTGCAGGTCTGCGAGTATGAGCGTGTCTGCGGCGGTCTCCACCGAAAGACTCAAGCACAGCGCCTCTTCGCACATCACTTTTAGTCGCTCCAATGCATACTGTAACAATACGACACAATTTTATTATTAAAATATATACATCATATATATATATATACCAAATAAAATAATATTATAAAGAGAAAAGATTTGTTTGTTTGTTTGTTTCGAATAGGCTCCAAAACTACTGGACCGATTTGAAAAATTATTTTTCCATTAGAAGCCGACATTGTCCCTGGCTTACCTGGCTGGACCATAGGCTACCTTTTTTTAGTTTTTTTTTAATTTTTTTTTTTTGCTTCATATGTGTTTTAATGTTTCCGAAGCGAAGCGAGGGCGGGTCGCTAGTACCAAATAAAATAGACATTTAATTAAAAAGAGAAATGTCGCGAATTAAGCGAAATATCGCTTAAAACTAATACATAGCCTGTCACCCCTCGAATTATAACGGAAACAATAAACGCGAGATTCAACCCTAATAGCAGTTTTAATTAAAACGGAGTCTAACAAATAATGTCTATGTATAAATAGGTAAAGAAAAAACAGAAGTTTTGTTCTCTGTTTGTCAATGGATTTTGTCTATATTTTTTTGTTTAGTAACTAGGCTGTTTTCGTCATTTAGTTTTACTTTTTTTTTTGAAAATAGTTGTGTAAGAAATGTTTTTTTTTTTTTGTAATACCCATAATTAGAGAAATTTAATTAGCTACATAAACTAAACCTAAATTTTGAGTGGTTATAGTCGAATTTTGATCATACACTTATTATTATAATTGACACTTGTTCGATCATTTCAATTACCGCGCCCTGTTCCCGCGTATGATCGTTCGAACACAAATCTCGTCAACTAATGTCAATGTCAACGTCAACGTCCTAATGTCAACTGTGATCAAGCATTTCATCGACGAAAACATTTTACAGTGACACTTGGTTATGCTCGTTAATACGAGTACATAATAATATGAGGCTGTCAGCGCAAAAGTGGCCTAACTCATAATGTTTCATATTCGTGCGTATACTTATATTGCAACGTATTTAAGAGCTGGTGGTAGGTAGGTAGAACCTCTTATAAGCCCGCAAGGGTAGGTACCACCACCCCGCCTATTTCTACCGTAAAGCAGCAATGCGTTTCGGTTTGAAGGGTGGGTAGCCGTTGTAACGATACTGAGATATAACTTAGAATTATATCTCAAGGTGGGTGGCGCATTTACGTTGTGTCTACGGGCTCCAGTGACCACTTAACACCAGGTGGGCTGTGAGCTCGTCCACCCATCTAAGTAATAAAAAATAAGAATAAAAAACAGTAAATTTTGATAAAAAACCGGGTTATCCCTAGTTTCATATATAGCAAACAGGCGGCATTGTAAAAAAATTTGGAGTGTTTTTTGCCTATGATGCAGTGTAAATGTAAATTCGAACCTCATTACATACATGCCTAGCTACGGTAAGCTTAGGCCAATAATGCGCCGACGGCCTCATAATATAAGCCCAACGGTCAGTGAACAAACAGAGATAAACTCCAAAATACTCCGCAAATATATTGTCTACTATTTACCTAGTGTGACCACAGATAATGTATTGATATTTGTTGTACTAAAATAGGTTTTTTTTTGGAAAATACCACATAAAAGGGTCAATCGGCCTGACGTAGCCTTCGTGGTGTATCTTTACCGCAATAACAGCGTGTTTTACGCGTTCAGTTTCTATCTATCGCTTTTGTTATTCAACTTTAATTCAACTAAGCAATTATTAGACATTCCATGATTATATTTTATGGGCGTTTAAATATTCAAAGCGCACTGTGTCACATCGTAGCATAATAATAATAAACATGTCCTCGTTCTATTATGTTTCGTGTCAAAGTGCCCTTATTTTTAGGGTTCTTAGTCATCGGGAAAGCAACGTTTGGCATAGTGTCAAAACGCGATAACAAATAGACACGTTTGCGTCATTCGAAACTTTGCAACTTAAATTGCACATTCAAGATATTTACTTGACAAATTACTTATATCGCGTTTAGAGTTTTAAAAAAATCGTACCATTTTGTGTCCTATTAAAGCCGCATGTGTCTTATTTAAACAATTAAATGCTTCTGCACTAGCATGAAATGAGCATTGACGGTTGTTCTAAAGTTACAAGCTTTTATTTATTGTTTTATATGATTGTGAGGTGAGAGGCTATCTAGTGAGTAGACACCTCGAGAGGTGTGGTCGAAATTTCAATTGTTTTGTATGAGTATTCCGTAACTTAAACAGCATTTTTTAGCCCACTGAATTTCTCGCCGAATCTTCTTAGTGTTAGCAACAATCCCGGTTTAAGCCACGTGAGCTCACCTACACGTCAAGGCGAAGCTAAAATAGCCTCTCAAGGCTTTCGGCATAAGTAAAAAAAAGCATGATTGTTTCTGAGTAGAAATAGGCAAGTAAAATTATCCCTAACCAGTCATCCTCATTACATTCCTTATACGAGTGTGTTTAAAGAAATAAAATACATTTGCGTTTCGGTCTCAAAATCGAGGCAGTCATTCCAATGCCACTAAGTCCGATAAGCGTTTAACATAAGGCGAGCTACGAGCTCGACTTCTTATAGAAGATGAAAAAAACAAAGTCCATTGTCGGCACATCAACGATTTGATATCAACCACTAAACATAGGTCTCTGTCACACAAGTCCAAAATTACAGAATCAGGATCAGAATCGTCTTCATCAAATCGTTCCATTCCCGAACTCTATAGCGCGATGTACTACTAACAAGGCCTCCACAAACGGAGGGCCCCTACAATGGAGAGTTTGGAAAAAAAATCTTTCAAATTCCGACAAGTAAGCAGTTGTTTTACTTAACGCTAACACTTAAATTTAATTTTAGATAATTCTTATATCCGATTATATTTATGTATGTTTGTTAAATACTAAGAAATCTACGTGGTTTTACACAATAAATTATTTATTGGAAATCTCGACTGAAAAAATGTTTTCATTTTATTTGAGAAATAATTTGGAGCCAAGGGGCTTCCGCTCTTCTGTTGCCCCGAGGCCTCCAGACCTCTAAAACCGGCCCTGACAATTCTGTACCGTCAACGCATAGGCAAGTAATACGAACAAATGTTCGCGCTTTCTTTAAATAAAATAATTTTTTCTTACACTATTTTTAATTCAAATTTATTAAAATTTATTTTCTATTTTTAGTTGAATTTCAATTTTTTAAAATATTGAATTGCCATCGGTCCTTAATAAGTATACCAAATTTCGAGTTAATCCGACGTTTTGAAGTAGGTCAAAATCATGTCCAAAGATTCCGTTACATACTACCATACATACGTCTGAAGCTAATAAAAGCGTATTAAAAAAAAAACGGAAATTCTTTAACATATTATCATTTTATCCAGTTTCGAGCTTGCCTGTAACAAATTACGAAAAATGAATTACAACAGAATAATACCTTATCGGCCGCAGCTAGCAGATCGTCGGCCATCTTATCCAAATTGGGCGCTCTGCCCGTATATATGAAACGTAACATTTCTCTTAATACTTCATGATCGACGTCCGTGATGTCGACTCTATTCCTCTTCCTCTCTTCCATTTCGTGTTCGAACATCGCAGCGAACACAGGACTCCGCGCTGAAATGGCAATAAATATAATTTATAAAAAAGAATGCGTTTACTGGTGGTAGAACCTCTTGTGAGTCCGCGCGGGTAGGTACCACCACCCTACCTATTTCTGCCGTGAAGCAGTAATGCGTTTCGGTTTGAAGGGTAGGGCAGCCGTTGTAACTATACTAAGATCTTAGAACTTATATCTCAAGGTGGGTGGCGCATTTACGTTGTAGATGTCTATGGGCTCCAGTAACCACTTAACACCAGGTAGGCTGTGAGCTCGTCCAAACAACTTAGCAAAACAAAGAGTTTTTGAATGTTGCCTTATAGCAAATAGGAAAAAACAATTTACGGAATAATAAAAAAACCCAAGTAAACTGATTCCACATTAATGATTTTAAAAAAAACCTTGCAGAGCGATTTAAGCTCTTATCATTTCAAATTTATTGACATTAAAATGAAAACACATTCTAAATGAACGGATATTTTGAAATTAGATCGTATTTATCATTATAATAACAATTACTAATACTGGCAGATGTTTTTGTAGATTTGGGGACTTTGTAATTTGGCGATATCTCAGCATCACTATATTATCAGGTAGGAAAACGCCCATTGCTAAATTTCAGAGAAAAATACGTAAGGCTCGAAGTAGTCTTTTGTTTAGAATTAAAAAAAAAAAACGATAGTTTTATTCAAAGCGCTAAAACAATTCAATCAACTGTATTAAGCCAATTTAAGCTGTACAATATGAAGGTATGTAAGTACGTAGGTAGGTAGGAAGGAAGGTAGGTACGATTCATAAATTAGGAGTAATCATATCATGAACATTACGTTGCATGATTGACGTGTTAACTATATATTTATTTTATAAAAATGTTTAGACTTCGGAGTTAAAACAAAACACCCAAGCGTTCCACCTATTGAAGTTTTTGAAGATTTATAAATTACGTAATTAAAATTATTCTTTTAAATATATATTTAACAAAATGTAAAGCAGTTTTTGATTCCCCGAACCATGTGCAATAGTCAAATGAATACGGTAGCAAAACATGCCCCAAAAAAAAATCGCCTAAAACAGAAATGAACCAAAATATTAAAATGTAATTTTATTAAAAAAAACCTACAATTTCCCGTCCGTTCTCTTATCGCGTACCTATAACCTAATTTAATATTATTAATAACTTTTTTGTTCAGTATACAGTTACAGTTACGACGCAATTAATAAATGATTCACGTGGCTGGACTATTTGAAATTATTAACATTGTGAAAACAATCGTTTTAACTTAAAAATTGTTTATTATGCTGGCAAATGGGACGTAAATATTATTACGTAAATTAAATCATAAAAATCATGATCTTGGTGGAGATATTATTTGTTAGTCCCTCCCCATGACACAGACATATGTATGGTGGTAGAAAGTTTTGGTACAAACTTACTGCCTGCTTTTTTTAATTTTTATTGTTTAGATGTGTGGACGAGCTCACAGCCCACCTAGTGTTAAGTGGTTACTGGAGCCCATAGACATCTACAACGTAAATGCGCCACTTCTAAGGTCTCAAGTATAGTTACAACGGCTCCCCCACCCTTCAAACTGAAACGCATTACTGCTTCACGGCAGAAATAAGCAGGGCGGTGGTACCTACCCGCGCGGACTTAGAATTTTTGCGGGTCTTTTGGTTTTTATTACACGATGTTATTCCTTCACCGTGGAAGTCAATCGTGAACATTTGTTAAGTACCTACATATTTAATTAGAAAAATTGGTACCCGCCTGAGATTCGAACACCGGTGCATCGCTCAACACGAATGCACCGGACGTCTTATCCTTTAGGCCACGACGGCTTATAAGCACACAACACTACCAAATTACCAATAATACCAAATATATGTTATTGTATTGACTTTACTAACCTGCTAATATAGCTTTATGCGCTTGAAACTCCCTGCCGCCCACGGCTAGCGTGACATCAGAGAATCTTTCGTTATCAAAGAGAGCTCCTAAATCGTCTGACAATCTGCACTCAGGCACTTTGAACTGAACCACGTTGCTCTGCCCGCTGATGTTGATGCTATCCGCTACAACTGACACTTCGCAGAATATCGTCAGTTTATCTTCGGGTAATAAACCATTGGCCTCGTCGAGCAGGAAATCTCTGAAATAATCAAATAGCCATGTCAGTTATATTTTCTGCGCGTTTTGTGTATTTAACTACAGGGTTTTTTTATTGCTTAGATGAGTGGACGAGCTCACAGCCCACCTAGTGTAAAGTGGTTACTGGAGCCCTTAGACATCTACAACGTAAATGCGCCATCCACCTTGAGATATAAGTTCTAAGGTCTCAAGTATAGTTACAATGGCTGCCCCATCCTTCAAACCGACACGCATTAATGCTTCACGGCAGAAATAGGCAGGGTGGTGTCGCGATATCTACAATAAATAACATTCTACGTTACGGCTCCTTTGGCTGTACATAGTTAATGCATTTATTGCGTAGAGAAGTTGGTGTGAATTGGTTACCAGAGGCCATAGACATCACAGCCTGAATGCCGTCATGCATGCGAGACTTGAGGTCGTTGTCCACTTGTTTTTTTTGTGTTTGAGGGATTACTGTTGGCCCGTAAGCCTTTCCAGTTTCACCAGGGCAAGAGAGCCAGCAAAGGCTCAGCCAAAAAGGGTGGGATTTGCAAACAGCTGAATGAATCTACCGAATCATCATCGCAACCCGGCGAGAAGCTCCAGCGAGAAACTCAGAGGGTGTCCGATTGTACTGTACACAGGCTGCTCTACTAGAACGCATGACAGCACCGCGACAGAAATAGGTAGGATGGTGATGCCTGCCCGAGCGGGCCTATAAATACGTCCTACCACTGGCAAATGTTTTGCGTTTATAGTTTATTTAGGCATTAAAGCAATTCAAGGGATTCTTAAAAAAAAATTTGAATTCACTAAATTTCCCGTTATTTAGGCGTTGTTGCAAGCGCCATGATCACGGATAGACCGTAAGTTCCGGTTTGACATCCTTCAAACAGGATCTTATGGCTGGTTCACGATAGTGTTTACAATACGACATCCACGCGAAAAGTTGAGGCGGTGTCGACACCCCACAACCACTTTTCAGTTTGTTTTAGGGTGTTAACACTGGCTGTCGATAACTCGTCCCGAGTTCACTACGACATTTACCTGTAAATTACCTTGTTCAATTTCGACAATGAACTATTTTTATAACCACTGTATAGAAAACCAACAATCCTAACACTATACAAAATAAACCCTATTATTATCACTATCAAAAAAAAATCCTTAACTTATCTTTTCCGCGATTTCAGATTACTTTAGAGCTAACTGAAATTGCCCTGATTTGCAAAATACTCCATCGATTTAAAGAAAGATGGGGATTACCCATTACCACATCATCAATCTCTAGATATCTTATTGAGTATTTCATTTCTACATTTCTCTGCTCCTAACTTTCTTTGCTCTTTTTATTTTTTATTATATTAATCTATCCACGATGAGGGCACTTGTGACAGGGCTGAAATATCGAAAACTCATCTAATTTAAAATACGTGGTAAGAATCCGATAAATAATGCTATTTTTTTATTACGGTTTCTTACATCTTAAAGTTATTTAAAAATCACACATCTTGAAGATATTTAAAAATATACATTAAGGATATAAACATATAGTATATTTTAGAAGCACAACTGTGATTTGGATCGCACAAGAACTAAAAAGCGTGGTAAGAACCTGTTAAATTGGGCAAATATAATATTTATAAACAGCGAAAATTTAAAACAATTCGTAACTATATATAATACGGTATTTATATGTAATAAAAACTGTTTCTTTTTTTAAATAAAAACTGATAAAAGCCGCCTTATGCAGAGTTCCTTAACCTAACAGCGATATCGTCCTAAAGTCTTGCCAATATCGTGTAGACTTGTTTGCAGCAGAACGTGCGACCGTGTCACAAATATATTCACTTCTTTAGTATATATACAAGAATAAAATACGCAAATACCGGGGGGTCAATCACCTGCGACTATCAAAAACTTCGAAGCCTGTTTTTATTAGTCAACCGTTTCCAGTGAAATTATTCGAAGCCGTAATTGGTCCCTAGCAGATCTAGGTGTGATAATGTTCGCGGTAATTATGTGTTTTAACGGTAAACAAATGACGACTATCGTTTGTTGAAATAAACAGCTAATACAAATAAAACGTTATGACTTTGAAAAGTTTGTCAACAAAATAAATTAATAATGATTTTCACCCTTTGCAAACTGATATTTTTACGATCGACGAGTAATATACATTGATCTGTTTAACTATAGTTTGAGTACATAATCTGAGGTCATATTAAAATGGTGCACGAGCCCCGCAAACGTACACGATAACAACGATGGGGAATGAAATTGAAATAGCATTATCAGGGGGGTCTTTTCCCGTTCTAGTTTAATTGGGCCGCAGTTGCCACAAATAAAACCCAACCTTAGTAACAAAATTTGTTTCTATATCAATAGTTGTTTGTGGGAAATGATTTTTTTATAACGGTGTACGTGGTTGAATCTATATATAGAAAAGTCGATGTATGTATGTGCATTCCATATAGATTCCGAAATGGTGGGGCGATTTCGATAAAAAATTCAGATGATCCTGTAAAGTTTGGCTTTAGTTACGGAATCAAAGTCAAATCAAATAAGTGGATCGGTTTTGTCTAGTAAAATAATAAGACTAATATATAAACTCTTATTTTCTGAATTCTCTAATTCAGTTTATGAATAATTGTTACCAAATTTAGTAAAGCTGAGTTGGTACGAATTGTTGATAACGCTCACCTTCTGATAAACTTTTTGAATCCCCAGTCTTTTCCTTGCACGAATCTGTACGCCCGTTGCGATTCCATTGCTTTAGTTTCTTCTCTTTTAGCATTTAATATTGAAAATTTAAACTTTGCCCGCACTTCTGATTTATTACACGAGACTAATAATAAGTATAACGATAAATAGTCTTTGCTCTCTTCATCGAGTCCTTTTGGATTGACGCGAAGACACCATTTTAATTTATCACTAGCACCAGCTGAGAAAGTCGATGATTTTAACACTTCACCCATTTCTTCTCTACAAAAACTAAAATTGTTTATTGTCCACATGTAACTGAATTTCACCACTTTGACCTGAAACAAGAGAAAACGAATTTTTAATCTAAATTAGCTGTCTATCTATCTACTACTGACTCGAAATTGAAAAATGTTGCTTATATTCAACTAGCGACTATTTAATGATGTTATTATACATATAAACCTTCCTTTTCAATTACTTTATCTATTAAAAAAAACCGCATCAAAATCCGTTGCGTAGTTTTAAAGATTGAAGCATACATAGAGATATAGGGACAGAGAAGCGACTTTGTTTTATACTACGTTACTATGTTAAGAGGCTATAGAATTGTATAATAACAAAATGACGCTTTTGCAAATGTGTCGTTGAAGCAACTTTTATATTTGATTTCTCACCACTAACAAATCTTACTTGAAGATCCAAGTTGCTATTTAATACAAAGCCAGTCCTTTGTGTTTTGATTCTAATCGCTGCATGCTATGTAAAACAAACAAGTTGCATTGCCGGACAAGCGTTTAATGACTTATTTATGGCAAATAAACTTTTATTGTGAACTAAATAGTAAACCTTCATGCATGATTCAAGGTTAGAATGCCACAGGTAATCACTTTGTGGGACTAGCATAATACATTGATATTTTTTTCCTTTTCAATATTTTGCGAGGCAATTCCACTGACATTGAATTTAATTTTAGCAGATAGATAAAGCATTTATCTGAGATAAAATGTTTGGTTGCGCCGTATCACGATTTGTGAATTATGACATGGTCGATGGAGTATTTTTTATGGCGTACAGTATATGGACATGTGGAGTTAGACGAAGGTCAGGAGGAATAGGCGTAGAATGGCGGGCGCAGGTTGGTCGTTGCCCCCGACCGTTGCTTGGCTTGCGGTGCTGCCTGGGGTCTTCGCCCGGTCGCCGACCCGTTCCAAGGCCGACCACATCATCCCCGTAACTTTGTGGATACGCTGATAACATCCGTTTGCAAATTCCACGGACGAGATTATATAAATTACTAGCTTTTGCCCGCGACTTCGTCGGCGTGGAATAGTTACTTTGGCATAACGCTAAATTTTACAGCATAAAAAACGTTATAGTGAGCCAAACTTAACATATGGACATATGCTGTCACGGACTTTTTTTTTTAGATCTTTTAAAGGGGAACAATTCTGTCATACATTATTTTAGCGAAACTTTAACCGTTTCCGCAGCGCACGCAGCGGAAGCTCTCAAAAGGGAAAAAAACAGATTTTGAAACATTATTTATTGGTGCTCTCATCTTAGCGTGATGTTATAGTTATAGCCTATAACCTTCCTCAGTAAATGGGCTACCTAACACTGAAAGAATTTTTCAAATCAGACCAGTAGTTCCTGAGATTAGCGCGTTCAAACAAACAAACTCTTCAGCTTTATAATATTAGTGTAGATTACTAAATATTCATACATACATATAGCTTAAGTTACATTGGTCTGATACTGCAAATGAGACAGAGAAGTTTGCGTTTATGAATAACTAACTAAAGGATCAAATCTTTCAAACGCTTTAAAAAAGTTCATTACAAAAATATTGTGACATTTTTTTTAGTGACGCATTACTTACTTAACAATGATGGACATGATTATCGCGAGCTGACACGTGTATCAACGACCGGGAGCATTCTTACACGTGTATTTAGCGAAGGCTTTACCGCTGTAGCTATTATATTATTTAGGCACTACCACATCTAGCAGTGGTAGTAAATGGTAGCAGATTAGTGGGCTTTGATTCCGTTATAAAACGGTCGTGTAGAAATGATACATCAGCAGGTTGTTGGTCGTCAAAACTGAATGAGACCTTAATAAGTGTACGTGCCGCTACGTCGGGCGGCAACCGAAAAATACCGTTAGTGCTCGCAAACTAAATAGATATTTTTTTGGACAAAAAATATAAAAAAGGCAGCATCGGGTCGATGGTTAAGTCGCACAACGGTCGCTCCAATAACGGCTTTGTTTCTAGATTCGAGTTGTCGTGAACGATATAAGGAAACATCGTATAACGTAAATTGATTAAGACTGGTGATAGGACATCTTGTGAGTCCGCGCGGGTAGGTACCACTACCCTGCCTATTTCTGTCGTGAAGCAGTAATGCGTTTCGGTTTGAAGGGCCGGGGCAGCCGTTGTAACTATACTGAGACCTTAGAACTCGTATCTCAAGGTGGGTGGCGGCATTTCGTCGTGGCCTAAAGGATAAGACGTCCGGTGCATTCGTGTTGAGCGATGCACCGGTATTCGAATCTCAGGCGGGTACCAACTTTTCTAATGAAATACGTACTCAACAAATGTTCACGATTGATTTCCACGGTGAAGGAATAACATCGTGTAATAAAAATGAAACCCGCAAAATTATAATTTGCGTAATTACTGGTGGTAGGACCTCTTGTGAGTCTGCGTGGGTACCACCACCCTGCCTATTTCTGCCGTGAAGCAGTAATGCGTTTCGGTTTGAAGGGTGGGGCAGCCTTTGTAACTATACTTGAGACCTTAGAACTTATATCTCAAGGTGGGTGGCGGCATTTACGTTGCAGATGTCTATGGGCTCCAGTAACCACTTAATACCAGGTGGGCTGTGAACCCGTCCACGCATCTAAGCAATAAATAAAAAAAGACGATAATGATACACGTGACGTTAATCGAACCAGTCTCGTATTAAATAATTAAAGTTTCATTGTAATAATGCAAGCGCATGTGTAAGCTAAGTAATTTCTTGTCACGTTGTGCACATAGCGAGAGCGACATTCCGCAAAATCCGAGTAGCTTCAAACGTGACGCACAAGCAGTCTCTGCGTCCACATCGGTTTTCCACCGTCATGTACTTCCTTGTTTAAACACAATTATGTTATATAAATACAATATGCATGTGCGCGTTATGTTTCAAGTTCACCGATAACGGCCTCGGTAAACAGTTTTATCATTTAATATTCGTTGGTTCGCTTCAAAACTCCATATAATATTATGACATAGCTCGTACATGTAGAATGTTTATGATTACGACCATGCAGATGTATTATCTATTACTACTTTAAACTAGAACTGTGCGCCACTAAGACTGGGAAAAGGGATTTGTCCGGAAACAGATAAAGAGTCGTCAATTTATTATTATTATATTTTAATAAAATGTATGCTACTGAAATCATATTCGTAATCGTCCTCAGATTTAATTTAATACATGATATTTCTTCTTCTCTTCTATTTTTATTTAATATCTTACTTTACGGTTTACGTCGGTAATTTCACATGTACATTGTTAAAGCATCAGCCTTCAAATGGTGATCAAAAGTCCGAGGCAACACAGCGAGGCTGCGACTATGCTCTAGGTTACCAATTAACGAGTTTATTATAAACATACATATAATTGCTTAGCAACGATGAAAAGCCCACTGAGTTTCTCGCGGGATCTTCTCAGTTTTTTGCGTTTCCGATCCGGTGGTAGATTCTGCGAAACACTGCTCTTTCTAGAGCTAGTGTTAGTAACACTCCCGGTTTGAGCCCCGTGAGCTCACCTACTAGTTCGGTGAATCTAGAATAACCCCTCGAGATCACTAGTAAAGAAAAAAAATGTGTGGTGTCGTAGGACACCGGATAGGAATGAAGTTCACTATTATAAAAATATTAATTTTAAGTTCTATTCGAGGTATAAAGAAATTAAATTATTCGGGTATATATTATTTATTATGATTTTTTTATTGATAAAAATAAAAATTATCGCAAGGGTCAACCACTCCGCAATGCAATGGAGCAGTCTCGCCCTGGGGGAACCGCCTGCATGATCACGGTATCCCCTACGCCAGGTAAGTATGATTTAGCAAGAGAAATACGAGAACGTCTATCAACTATGTAACATTTCGTCAGTGCGATTCAGTTATTGTTGAATTTACGCGCAGCGACATCTGTTGATAACAAACTAAATAGAAAAAATCTTACGTTACGGACGTTTTTTTTCCGGTTAGGGTACCCCTCCGCATCGTCCAATAAGGAACTTCGTTCCAAAAAAAAATAAAAAGGTTAAAACATATTATAAAGCGTGTAGCGAAGTAAATTTTTGTTGGCATTACTTGTGTGAAGCACCAGTTTTCTGCGACGGGCGTGTTTCCGTCGTGCAACGGGCTGGGCACGCGGCTCACCGCCATCCCGCCAGCGCCGTTCGAAGAGACGCGCGCCGACTGCGGAGAGGGCGCGCCGCCGCCCGACCCGCCAACGCACTCGCTGCCCGAACCGAGCCTGGAAAGTGCATTAACACCTTAGGGTCACTCCGCACACGGGCCACCGGCCACAACCACAAAACGCATACGCACCATATACCGCATATACGTACCGGCATATTTTCAGTTATTTTCATACATTTTATATGTAACGTGTGGCGGCCACCGGCGTCAACCGTGTGCAATGAGTCCATATAAATTGTATGAAAACAACAGGAAATAGGTCGGTGGTTGCGTTTTGTGGTTGTGGCTGGTGGCCCGGTGCGGCGACACTGGATGACATTACGAATGTCCTCATTACAAACGAACATTGTGTAAGCAGAGAGCACAAAGATACATATTGTATTTTTAATTTTTAATGATATTTGATCTTATACCAGACGATAAACTTATACAAACAGTCTCCCCTTTGCTGTCGAACACGTTGCGAACAAAATAAAATGCGAAATATAAAAGCGACATTTTCGTTCCTGAATAAATTACTTACTGGACCTTAAAAGAGATTTGAAAGACTATTCAAAAGTAACAAGACTAAATTTGGAGCAAGTAATAATTATGAATCACCACTAAGCTAACAAATGAATATTTATAATCAATTTGTGGACGACGATCTTAAGTGATCTTTCAATCGGAACTCCTCATTGGTTCGTGGTAGAAATTCGACGAAACGGCGACACAAACTGGTGAGAATTCAACACTTCTTATCGCCAGTATACCCAAGAACAAGAGAATAGCTACGTAAGTATAAATAAGTAAAACAAGGTAATCAATACTACAATTACAATGAACGGAAAAGCAGAGTGTTAACAGTAGCTCGAGGTCATCGAAGTTGCATGCTCGTTTAAGACTGATCATTCATTAACAGCGCAGACCATTCAAGATGCTTTGTTCTAAATAAGATGGGTGCTGAGAAAGTTTAAATATATTTCAAATGTCTTTCTCCCCTCTTCAAGCCTCCCCCAACATAGCAAGGAAGGAACGACTGAAGATCGGACTCAAAATACTTACTTATGTGTCCAAATCCACTCGTATCTTTTTATTTTCTTACATACGTTGCAACCCGCATTTTCCCATAAATCATTATACTGCCTCATTATTAAAGCTTATTATTGTTATTGCCCACAACGCGTGATTGAACTATAAACCGTCACTGCGACCTACATCGATCCATTGTGACTTTCACAGATATCTGATTTTTTTATCCGAACCCAAATCCAGCATAACTGGATTGCTTTCCTCGGAAATATCCTCAGGGCGAAGAATGTGCTCTCCGAGGACAGTGGCTTTTGTTGTCTGAGGCGTCGCAGTGACACAGTATTTGCAGATATGTTTATTCTCCTCACAATACTACAGACTAGATCATCAGCAATGTTTAGATTGCATACGTGCCTTCGTAGATTTCAGTGTTCTTTCTACCCATAAAATACTGAAATAGTTGATGTGCACTGTTTTGTTTTCCGCTGCATGTATTGCACTTTTTATTCCGAGATTATACAGCGGTTCATATATAATAGGTATAAGACTAATCTGCCCGTAATTAATAAGTAAAGCAAAATGGTTACAGTTTCGATGGACGCGCCACAATGTAGCTATACACTTGCTAATGTCAATAGTATGCTACCAGCACACATAATAATTATCCCAAGATAACCATAGATCATAGACACAGGTCCCTGTCGAGTGCGAGTCAGGAGTAAATATACCAAAAAAACGTGCGAATCAAGTGATAATTAAATCTTAAATTTGATTTTGTTAGAAAGCTATTTAAGCAGTATTTATATGACATAAGGGCGATCAATAAACTTTATCAGAAATAATACAGATTTTTAATGAATTACCTTAAATGTGTAGTATGTAGGATACACGATACTTTTAAAAATGTGTAAAACCATGAACCCTTGCAGCATCGAACATTATCTTATTGTTGTTCGCTAATTGTACAAATGGTTTATGACGCTACTCGTACAATTATTGTTAGATGCCTTTGGATAATAGAGAAGTGAGAAATTATATTATTCTTTTGAATGACGTCAAATCACGTACGTGGCGTGTGCACATTACCTACTTATATATTGTAATTTATTATCTAGTACATATACGCGAACGATTGACCTGGTAGGTGTAAAGCAATACCTGCAACTTCTCATGGAGTTGAATACAAGACGAAAATGTAGCAACGTCGTCGTAACACGCCAATCAGAGATCGCAATTTCGCTCCCCAAATCTGGCACACAACACATAACAATACGCAAAATGCACGTACACATTTACATACATATCCGTACTTGTGTTAACGAACAATGACGACTCGGCGAAAGAAGAATTAGGCATATAAGTATCCGTCGGCTTTTGGGTTTCGGTGCCGACAAAATGTCGAGAGCACCACATAAGTGGGACATGTACAATGCGCGAGATATTGCCGTCCTGCGAGACTTTCACGAACTGTATTTCGATTACCAAATACGCGTTAGAATCTGTGTCAGTTTCATCACAGCGCTGCATCCGCTCACGGCCCTCGTGCGGTCGGTTTTTGTGAACCAACGTGTAATCAGACTACGCAAGCTGTGGCCCATGCGGTTGTAACCGGGCTTTCAGAAGGACGAGCACCGTATTGTATCTCACCAAAGGGCCACATGCCACGGATTTAATTCGACGAACGACAGTTATTTTTATTTCTCACTATAGGTACCTTAAATGAGGCTGTCAGCGCAAAAGTGGCCTAAGCTTACCACCGTTAGTATGGAGATAATGAGGTTCGAATTTACCTTTACAATACTTCATAGGCAAAAAAATACGCACTAAAATGATGTTTACAAAGGCATCTATTATCTATGGATAAAACTAGGGATAGGACGATTTTGCATCAAAATTTATTATGTTTTAAATAAATTACAATACATAAGCACGAATATGAATTGTTGGTTAGGCCACTTTTGCGCTGACGTCCTCAAATAGTAGTGACGACTTCATAGTGATAGTTACGTCTTGTTTACCGCATTACCCACTGTCCACATACCGCCTATCTCCGTGGCTACAGCGGTCTGTGGTTTATTAAGCACTGTATAATTCAACAATTGTTACGAACTTACCCTGACATGAGAATATGAAATAGTGTTCGATTTAGCACAATATATTAAACATGAAGACAATAAAGTGAGACATTTTGTCATTAGCCGTTTTAATTAGTAATTTAGTAAAACAAAATAAGAACAAAATAATGTCAAATGCAATGTTTTAATGTCAAAAAGCGTGAGAGAATCTATTTGTGCAAACCGATTACGTCGAAACGAAATCAGCCCAATGTAAAAATATCGGGGCTAAACAGAAATAAGCTTAACTGAAGATTACTGAAATTGTATTTGGGTAATGAAACTATGTATGTCAAACAAAAAGTGTCATAGCACTAAATAAAAGTAGGGTAAGTGAATTAATCGGCACGACCCAGAAAATGTCGACTGACTAAACGAGCATCAAAGAACTCAAGGAAGAACGTTGTATTAACTGGAACTAATAGGTAAATAAGTTAAAAGAAAGATAAATCTCATTGGTGTTATGATTGTCTGACAATCAACTGTAAAACCAATTTGTATTACCTAGAATTATTTTTACCATAACATTAACTGTAGTGCAGCTACTTTATGTATTGTGTCTATTTAATTTTAATGGTTAACTTTTCGCATTCTCTTTTAGATAAGATACCGTACGCGTAACGATTTGCCCGAGGTCGATCCACAATTTGCCACTGTAGCAAATAGAGCGGTCCGACCGACCTACATTCGGTCTACGTTAACCGCTCCTATAGCGATTAACAATAGGTGAATCTTATCAACTCATCTGTTTCTTTATGACCTAAATAAATTAAGGTTCAAAAGAGCGTCAACTGTAATCGTTCAACATGACTAATACCCATGTTTTCTATTGACTTGAACATTCGTCACGCCAAAATTCACAAAGGGAGATTGTTGCAATGATATTGGCCCGTCTTTAGGACAGACCACCCGCAGGTAGGCCCACTCAGAAGTATACTTTTTACTTCTTTGGTTGTTCCGAATTATTTGATACAATATCGTAAATCGGTTTTTATGAGAGCTTAGGCTTCGGCACAATTTAATTACATCTTACGTCCAATTATTCGATACGTTCTAAATATATTGTTTAGAAATGAAACTATTTTTAGGTAAACTTCGATCGCCCCGACTGTTTATCACACAGTCAATTGGTATTCAATTTTAATACAAATACAAGTGAAAGGTAGGCGAAGTCAACAACCCGTGAACGTTGGGCAATCTACGTCGCACGTATCATCGGTCTCCCGTGATCTTATTATAGATGTCATCCGACCTACTCGCATCGTCTTCTATATATAAGTCCTCCGCGTTTAGTATCACCACATCACGATGCTCTGCGGTACACTTCCAAACCATAACCAGTCATAAAGATACAGGCGGTTAACCTTTCATTGGAAATTAACATTAAATGGGTTTTGCTGGGCGCATGTTTTTACTGCTTTAAACCCTAATTCACATACAAAACGGTGAATGAATTTTAAACCGAACACTTTAACGTTCCAACGAACGGTCACCTTATTATCTGATGTTATTGAAATTGTCTGATTCAAAATACAATGTCATATGTATATTGTATCTAATTATTGTAATGTTTTATTGATATGGCACCCTGAAACGGTTGACAATAACATACGATGCCATAAATTTGCAATCAATAATAATACCGGTCGCACTTGGCGAAACAATTGAATCGGAATAAGGACGTTCAAACAATGAGCGTCCTGATACGCATGTGACTTTATTTCAGAAAATGGTAGTTGTGGTTGGTGCACCGCGTTAACAGAGTGGGGAGTAACTAAGTGAGCATTGCCCTCTTAACGATGACTGCGTGATGTGACTCAGACGCCCTGAGGACGACCCGACATTATTGGGTCCTCGACTGGGATCTGAAGGACGGTTTGTTTGTCGCAATAATACAGTTCTACGATATCTCAGCCTTGTTGTTTGTAAT